ACTGAAAATCTTTGTGATAGCCTTAAAATATATTTTTGTCTTTATTTATAAAGTTCAAAGCTTCAAAAATAATGTAGATCAACATATCTACGAAAACTTGAAATTGACAGTCCAAAACTGCATTACAAAATACACTATTTCTAAAACTTGAAATCCATTTTTTTTCTCATGTCCATGTATCTTGATGTCGAGATGATCAATTTGAGGATATTTGGGCATTAAAACAATCTCTTTTAGTGGAAATTTTGAGGTAGGCTCCAATTTGATTGTTTAGAGCCTCGGCTCTATATAAACTTTTCCATATATAAATGACATAAGCTCTTCCTAGTTGGATCACACATTAGAAAGGGTGGCTCCCATAAGATTGTGGGTGTCCATACCATAGGGTGGTCTCATGTCTGGGTACGGAGTTATTACCATCTTATATAGGGCCGTGACACTTAAGGTACTCGGATTCTAATCACTTATTGATTCTTTTAGTCATGGCCAATACATAATCCATGAGGCATATAGTCTAACTATATCTTTGACTTGGAGGTGACCTTCACACTTCTAAAAGCGATCTCTTTCTGTCATAGGTATATCTCATTATTTCATGTATTCGAGGTGTATGATTCTAGGCCTCAAAGTGCCAAGTACCTAGAATCATCTTCTCTTACTCATTCCCCTTGAGCAAGATAATCTTGTATTTAAGTCTTTAAAAGGCCATAATTTCATTAGAGATCAAACTGTCCTAATTTTTTATTTTTATTATTAATTGTCCAATGATGGAGACGTCGTTGGTCCATAAGTAAAAAACAAATACCCTAGGATTCACCAAAAAAAGGGAGTTAAAGTGGTTCAATGTTTTGGACGTTGCAAACATCAAAATGGGGGGCAAAATAGAAGTAAAAAACCGTGAAATATACAAAAATATTGGTCCATGCGACAATTCCGCATTTGTTTTCAAGTCACTACATAAAGGAAAACGTTTATATAGAGCTGATGCTCTAAACAATCAAATTAGAGCTCACCTAAAAAATTTAATTAAAAGAGGTTGTTTTAATGCCCAAATATCCTTAAATTGATCATCTCGACATCAAGATATAAGGACATTAAAAAAAAAATGTATTTCAAGTTCTGGAAATAATGCATCTTGTAAATGCATTTTTTGACCGTCAATTTTCATAATTCTCAAGTTTTCATATATGCTCGATCTAAAAATTTTATAATTAAAAATAAAAATATATTTTAAAGTCATCACAAAGATTTTCAGTATTGAAACCACATTTCTCGACACTATTTGAAGGTCACCCATACATAAATCTTCTTTACCTTATTCGAAGTTTGCTTGATACTCTCTGGTGACCTTTATTCATCTGTAACACAAAAATGAAAGTGATTTAGAACTCAAATAAATGCCTTAATTCAACTCCCGTGGACAATCAAATTGAGGTTTTAAGAGCTAAAGGGGTTCTTTTTTAAATTGGTTAAAAGGTGAATTGTACCAATACATGCAATCTTGTCCTGCGGGACCACTGTATGGTGGATAGACTCACGATTGCTGAGGAAAGACGTGGAAGCCACCAATTTAAAAGTCAATCATGCGTTTGTGAGGACCCAAGGGTGGAGACGTAGAAGGCTTTTGGACCGTTCCATTTATCAATTATAATAAATCCTTAATTTTCATCTTCACTCTATTTAGTGGAGAGGGTTTTCCTTTTTTATTTTTTCTCGCATATTCGAAAATTCCTGAATTTCCATTCGTCATTCCATGGATTGGATAGGGTAGAAAAAGCCATGGCGTTTGCTTTTGAACTTGAAAGACATAATGCCTCTCTATAGTTTCACAAATTTTCAATAAGACCAACATTGATAGACCAGAGAGATGAAAAGATAATTATATATATATTATGTCTATTTGTTTTCTCCAATGTTATGTAATGGTAAGGCAATCTTCTTCTTTCTTTTATATTTTTGGACAAAAGTACTATAATTTCATTAAGTAATAGAGACTCTTACATATTTACATCAGACACAAAAGAAAAGAAAAGGTAAAAGAAATAAAAAGTCAAAGAAAAAGCTCTTCATGAAACCCCCCTTTTAGCCAGATCATTTACTACCAAATTTGCCTCTATGTAAACATATTGGAAAGAGACAATCATCTGATCAATAATATCCATGATCTCCATCCACTTACCTCTCAAATTCCATGGTGAACGAGTCTCATTATTGCACCAATGGATAATATTCAATGAATCTCCTTCAACAATACAAGGCCATGTTTTGTATTGATCCAATAAAATGCGCATCCCTTGTAACACAACCTCCATTTCCACATAATTCGCAAATGCCACTCCACAAAGTCTTGTAACATAATAGCACTTCACCATTGTAATTTCTTATAACACCACCAAATCCAGCTACACTCAGATTCCCTAAAGAACTACCATCAAAATTTAATTTAATGGTTCACTTAATTGGTGGCCTCCACACACACATTTTGAGTGAACTGTAATTGTCCTTTGGTAATTGTAGGGCATACCGGTCATCGTTCTTCCACACCACTGCTGTGATGGTTGCTTTTAGTTTTAAGTTATCTTCATCAATTGCTTGGATCGTTCTTTTCAATGAATTTTCAACAAAAATTGGTTGTTTTGGGGTAGAGCCTTCTTGCCTAGTGATTTCTCGCTCGTAGGTTGGACGGTCGAGTACTAGCGGGAAAAGAACAAAATATGGACACTTTGTAATCTGTGAACTTTTTTACTAGTCTCTACACACACACACACACACACACACACACACACACACATACACACCACACACACACACACACACACATATATATATATATATATATATATATATATATATATATGAAGACATCCCTCAACCAGATTGCTTGACGGCTGGAAGTGGGAGTAAGCTGCTGATGATGTTAAACGTTTATTATAGTTTAAAATACCGTTGGAATCAACTTATCATTTTTTGTAACTTTATTTTAGTCATCGAAACACATAAATGTACTTATCTTTTGAAACATATAAATTATATAATGTGTGGAGACACATAAAAATATTTTTCCTTTCAAATTTTCATATTGGAGTTCTCAGGGGTGAACCAAGATCAACTTGGTACAGGAGGTTAGATAAGGAACTACAATCGAAGCATACAAACCACGAAAGTCATATGGGGGTGTGTAGTGTGTACAACAAAATGAGGACGAAAACTGTTTGATTGGGAAGATAAGTTTTTTTTCACCATGTCTACAGAGAAAGTGACGAGGAGACCGATAAATTGGCAAAAAAAATTAGGCGCGTTTCAAAAAGTTGGTTGTAAATAGATTTTAGAAGATAGTAGCAAATTTGCATTAGCAAAACAACAATAGTATGTAGTCATTGTACCATGTTAACCCTTAAAAAAAAAAAGAAAAAAAAAAAAGAGTATTCGAAAAAGCTAATTAAAATTAATAAAAATTGATAAATTTGAAGCAAGCATAACAAACAAAAGGTAAGGGTTGTGAAAATAATAGGACTCTGTTGGTTTTAGAAAATAATAGGACGTAGGAAAATAGGAAGTTACCTTTTTAGGTTGGAAGGATGGAATGAGTAACTTTTTTTTTTGATGAAACGGTGCACGTTATTGTAAGGTGGTTTCTTATTATGTTTTTGAACAGAAAGAGAGAAAGAGAGAGTCTTCTTGTCGTGTTTTTTTTGTTTTTTTCTGTTATTGTGATGTGTGTGTTTTTTTCTCTGTTATTGTGATGTGTGGGGGAGGTTTCGAATCCCTACGTTTATTCTTTCTTCTTGCAATTTTATTCTCAATTTCTGTATCTACAACTCAATTATATTTGTCGGTTGTTAACTGTCGATCAATTTTCAGCTTATTGTGATCCAAGAATAGCTGACCTTGCTTAGAACTAGTGTGATTCAAGAATTGCTTAGAACAGGGCAAGTTGAATAGGAACAAATAGGCGGGCAATTTAGGACTGAAGAACCCCATGTTAGTATCAGAGGTAGCCCCATTTCATTTCATATGTCATGTTGAAGTACAGATGAAAAATTATTAAAATTTGAATTTCAAAAAAAAAAAAAATGAAGGGAAAAAATTTACATAAGAGTGAGGCCCTAAACAATCTAATTAAAGCGTATCTCAAATATTTATTAAAAAATGTTGTTTCGATGCTAAAAACTTTCAATCGCTCATCTTGACTTCATGATGTACGGATATTAGAAAAAATAGATTTCAAGTCTTAAAAATAATACATCTTGTAATATAATTATCTAGATCATCAATTTTTTATATTATTAAATACTTATAGATTTATTCGATATACATTATTTTAAAATAATTAAAATTTATAATAAAAAATAATATTTTTTTTCAATAGTACTATTTGAATACGCGCCTTACTTTGATTGGTTAAGGCCTCCGCCTTGTACAAACCACGGAACGAAATGATGGTATCCCTCGTTAAAATTGGACGGGTGGCGTATTATGTGTTTGCTCGCTTCTTGATTTCTCTCCCTCATATAAATTCATCGGGGCCACAATCAAAAAATTAAAAACAAATAAATTCATGCTTTTTATATATATATATATATATATATATATATATATATATATACTGACCACAAGAAAGTAAGGTAGTACGT